CCTTGCTTACAGTATCGCAATATTTTGGGATATATCGTATCGTGACCCGTCTGTCATGATATGTATCGTATCGCCAAATTCTTGCCAATACACAGTAGGGTTGGGCAATATTGGCAAAAAAATGAATCACGATTAATTGTGGTTTTTAGCCGATAACAAATAATTTGACGATTAATCCCCTGGAGTCCCCGGACACCCTTATTTCGTGGTAACATGACCAATTTAGTGGGAAAGATTTGCTCTTTGTAAAAAATTGTTCCATATTGTGTGAAAATTACAGATTTCAGGCTATACATCATATTTTAAATTGTGTAGATAGATAAATAAATTACAGAACTTTATTTTAATGTTTGTCATATTTGAAGCAGAGAGGAGCACCGAGCAGACTGACTGGAGTAATCCCAGTCAGTCTGCCTGGTGGCGTTAATCTTATTAATCATCAAGTGACAAAAACTAATCGATTAATGTTTTTCTGACGATTAATTGCACACGATACGATTATGCCCAACCCTAATACACAGCCCTATTAATGATCAAGAAAATAATTCCTAGTTTCTTAAAAAACTAATGTATCCAACAACACTTTGTCTGTCAATTCCTTTTTAGTTTAATTTAAACCTTTGAAACTTGAGACAGTTTTATATCAAGATTAAACTTAATGTTTATAATTTTACTAATGCACCAAGTTAGAATTAGTTTCTTTAAGAATGTCTTCTGTATTAAAATAAGTGTTACTGTATGATATCCTTAACTCATTTAAAAATCAGTCAAACTGAATCGAATCGATTTGGGAAATCTGAATCAACACCCAGCCCTACAAACCACACAAACCAGTTAATACAGATAAAACCACACAGGGGTTCCTCATCACCTGTAACATTTCATGTTTCACAACAACGTTAATAAACCCAAAGCAGAAGACCATAAAACCAGTTAAAGTTGGATTTCTGAGCTGGTCTGGATGAACCCAGAGGCTGTGTCCAAGAAGGAAGCTCCAGGTCCAAACGCTCAGGGAAGAAGGAACCTTCTGACGACAGAACCAGTCTAGGATGTTTGACCCAGAGTCAGAACCAGTCTAGGATGTTTGACCCAGAGTCAGAACCAGTCTAGGATGTTTGACCCAGAGTCAGAACCAGTCTAGGATGTTTGACCCAGAGTCAGAACCAGTCTAGGATGTTTGACCCAGAGTCAGAACCAGTCTAGGATGTTTGACCCAGAGTCAGAACCAGTCTAGGATGTTTGACCCAGAGTCAGAACCAGTC